TGTCAAACACATGCAGACAGTTTCAGAAAGTGTAAGAGTCCTTTGGAGCAGCTATGTGTTAGGAGAAAAAACACATAGAAGGGGAGGCAAACAATTAAACTGACAACAGATTCTTTAACACACTGGAGTGCCCCACTTGGAGATATTTCATTCAGCTTAGAAGTCATTTTTATAAAAGAGCAAACATTCTTAATCCCACTAGAAAGACTTTTGAGAAAAGTGCCATCATGCATGCATATCCCATTACCAAGGCTGACAGAAAGGTGTGCACCATGCACAGGAAAAAAAAGGTGTGTGTGTGCATTCCCATTACCAAGGCTGACAGAAAGGTGCGCACCATGCACAGGAAAAAAAAGGGGTGTGTGTGCACATCTCTATCAGTTTTAGCCTTGGTTTTGAATGTGAAAATAAATACAGTGCACACACACTCACAAGCCTGGTTCACCACCACTGATATGTGAACAATAAACTTAGTGATGAAGGCATCTGATATCTCAAATGAGTTACACAGCCTCAAATCTTTAGCATAGGATGAATGTGTGAGTGCTGTGTAAATGGTCAAAGACAGATTCATTTATCACATATACTCACCCCATCTTCCTCCCTGTATGGGTTCAGACGGTTGTATACGGCTTCAATTACACCACGTCTACAGGAAAACATAAAAAAGCGATTACTTCTAGACTGATTTTTTTTTTTAATATTATTGGTAAATTTGAATACTGGCTCTCTTCTAGAGAGATGATGGCCTTTTAAAGCTACAATGTTTTCCAGATGTTTATGACTCCTCTGTTGAAATAAAACTGAGTATCCCTTTGGGGCTGGTGGTGCTTACTTGCTGGCAAGGCCTCCCCCTGGTGGCAGAGGAGGCATGCCGCTCTCCGTGGACAGGTTCCTCATCACTGTTACCAGGTCTGGAAAGCCCTCCTCCCCTGGCTGAGACAGCATTTCTAAAACACCAGACATGTTACACCAGTCAGTATTTACAGAGCTGGTGATAGCCAAGAACAGCTGGGGAGAGAGAGAGATGGGCATGACAACAGAGGAGAGAGACCAAAAATGTGACACATGAATGGGAAAGGAAATAAAGCTGGCAGCCATACAAGTGTGTTAGTGGAGATGTGTGTCTGAGACAGAGAGAGCAATAGTGACAGAGAGAGGCCTGCAGCTGAGTTGAGAGTGGCGCGAGGCCAGGTCCATGTTCAGCCAGAACATTCCTCTCCCTCTTTCTTGCCTTCTTTCTATTCATTCTTTCATTCTATATTCCAGTATTAGACAGTGCCCAAAGCCAAACAGCTACTTGGCTTCATGCAAACAAAACTTTCACATAACACTTGTTTCCTGAAAAGGGAAATGATCTTGGACTGCATATCAATCCAAGAGCAGGAAATCCATCTAAACCAGAGAGAGAATGTTTGAGTGAGACCAAACAGTATCCAGAGAGGAGATGCTAGCTGAAATGGAAAAGGGGGTCATGATGGTATCATTCTTCTGCTGTGAACCAGAGCTAACTTGGCTGGAGGTTAGGCAAAAGAGAGCTTTAGGGTCAGGCAGTGGAGAAAATACACGATACAGTTCTGAGTTGGAGGAAAATTATTTGTCCCCCAGAAAAATCTATGCACAGCCAAAAATTAAGCCCTGCTTTTCCCAGTAGCCATATTAATGGGTGTACTAAAATTCTCTATGTATGTAATCACTGACAATTATTGTACTGAGCTTATAAATATGAATGTAAATCCCACAGGTTTTATTAAAGCACACACACACACACAACCACCACATGACATTAAGAGCCTTGCTTCATTCATTGCCAGTTTTTCCAAATAGCATTTTTTTCATGAACCTATTTAAAATAAAAATGACCTAACAAGGTTTTCAGGAGAAGCTAGAGAGAGATGAGTGAGAAAACTGTTAATATTCAACAGCCCCATTATGTTTGTACAAACATTAGTTCTTTTCCTAAATCTATCCACTCTTACCTTCCACTCGTGTTTCCAGATATTTGTTGAGCTCTGCATCTTTCCTCACAGCTTCCTCTGACACTTTGGGAGCGCTGGGCAAACACACCAACACAGCACTCATGTTATCCCGACTCCCCTAAGATGGATGGGAGGAGAGGGGAATGAAGAAAGAGCAGGTGAGAGAAGGCATCATTGTGCAGTGCCGAAAGAAACCATGAAGATCAATTTCTAGGCCCCAGACAGTGTTGATGCTAATGGTTCAATTTTAATATCTGGACATAAGCAATTTTACAGCATTAACGGTGCTGTTTGTTCCCATCTGAACACCTGTCTCTGTTCAGAATGAGTACAACTGCTGCTCAGGATAAATGAGAATACTTTATCAGCCTATAGACAGCAAGTATTTGATACTTTGAAATTAAAAAATTAAAAAAAAAAAGCTTGTGCTTGATTTTACTTTACGTTCTAAAACCACCCAACCAATTTCACATTCTCATCCTCATTTGTGCACCTGAGTCACTAAAGCTGTTACAACTACAGGAAGTTCCTTCTAACAAAAATATATCTTTTTAAAACTTTATAATTAAACAATTATCATAATCATATACTCCATTTTAGAGCAGGAAATTCAAATGGGCTTTTTGGTGACACAATAATTTCCAAAGGTCTTTTGTAGCAAACCAGTTCCTTGGAGAGCTTTTATACGTTCTACACATTTTAATCTCCAAAATCCGTTAGCAAACAAAAAAATGTGTACCCACCTTATGCAGACAGGTGTCCACTACTTCATTGCAGACTCTCTCCAGGTCATCAGACACCTCAAGCCTAGATTTCACAAATTCACACAGCTCCTCATTGGACATGACATCCCAGATGCCGTCACATGCCAGGATCACAAACTGATCCTGTTCTGGAGCCCGAACCATCTCAAACACTTCTGGTTCGGGGCTAACCAGCTGCTCTGTGGGGCCCTTCCCATCCACACACTTGTAATCGTAGTCCCCCAAAGCCCTTGATACAGCCAGTGAGCCATTAACCCTCTGAATCATCACTGAACCGCCAGCATTCTGGATGCGCTCTCTCTCACGTGGATTGCAAGGCTTGTGGTCAAGCGTGGAGAAGCACACATTTGAATTGCGGTACAGAACAGCTCGGGAGTCACCACAGTTAATGAAGAAGAAATTATCTGGTGACAAGAGAATACCCACTGCTGTGGAGCCACTACGGTCCATGCCATTTCGCAGGTCTGAGAAGCTCCGCATGTGCTCATCAATCCTCAGGAATCCTGTCCGGATCCCGGCTTTCACAGCCTCCACAGTAGGAGGAACTGGAGGGTCACTGGTAGAGACATCCAAACCAGCCTGGGAACCCTGTGTTCCTCCGGCCCCTAAGCTAGCACTGATTATATGTTCCAGAAGATGCTTAGAGCAATAGTTGGCAACCTTAGAGCCAGCATGACCATCATATACGGCAAAAAATGACCAGTCACTCATTCCAGGAGCAGGCAGTCCCAGCACAGCTGTGTGCGCATCCTCCATCTCCACCCGCCAGCCTTGCATGGAGCTCAACCCATAGCGTAGGCCATTGCCCTCACCATGTGAGTTGTACTTCTCTGTCTTGGGCTTATCCAGGAATGCACCCATGACTCTGCTCTAGATACCCACTGTTGCCTGTGGGAGGAGGAAAAAAATGGATAAATCAATCAATTAGGCAGTTAAGTCGCTGCCCTGCACTGTGTACTGACTCTGTAGTTAAAAATGTTAACCCTCTAACATTGTAAATTCTAGGAAATCTCTGATGACTCCTGCTCATCAATTGCATTTTCATAATAGATTCAAAGCTGTGCATACATACTGCACAAATTCCAAAACCCCACACTATAAGCTATGTGCTAAATCTATGCTACTTTGGCAGTTGGTTAAGAAACTACTACTGCCTGTAGAGTAAAATTCTGCCCAACGTTCGGATGAGATCTCAAAGAGTATTACAACTAGGACTGGGTATTTCAAATTAAAATGCTATCCAATATTCACTGGGAACTATTCAACAATTATTCGAAGATCACGCACGTTATTTCCAGGCACCAGTAAAAGAAAGGGAAAGCAGTGGCTCTTTGTTTTTAAAGACAAAACCAGAGTCACATTCAATTTTTTTTTAAACGACTATTCAAAAATCAGTGCCCATCCCCAATTATAACATGATGATATTTATCGCCAAGGTGAAAAACTGTCTCGCAATATCAGCAGATAACAGAACCAGAGTAGCAGCCAGCATGACGGAGTGTGTGGGCAAAATTAGCATAGAAGATGCCCCCGCCACTTTTTATGTTAATTTGTGGAAAGGAGTTCAGTTAGAAGGTCACCCACAGCAGCAGCTTCAATTAGAAGTTAGAAGCTCATGCATAGTTCATGCACAGTTACAAGGTCTGAAGAGATTGATGTGAAATCATACAGGAAAGAAGCCAGTCAGATGAGTTTGTGGCAAAACGTCTTACAGTGCTTGAACACTGTTCTGTCTTTTACCGCATGTGATAATTCATACTCAGAAGGTAGAGCTGAAGTGATATTAATTACTTATTAATTATTAATTATTTAATTACAAAATGATTAGTTAAAACATTTCGAAATGCACCTGCATTGTTTTGCATTTGGTGACTTTCAGTCAAAGACTATTTTACCAGTTATATATTTCATCATTAGTGTTAAAATATCATATTGTCTTGTTCTCATGGAGCCAATATCATGTATTGTCTTATCTTGTGGGCCAAGTGTATTGTCACACCCTTAACTGTGCATGCTGGTAAACTGCATGGCTTAATGTCCAACTTAACGTTCCAGTCCAGTTAATGTGTTCACCTGATAGAGGCACGGTCTGAAACAAACAACCGATCATAGCAACCATTAAAAATAAACACTGTAGCCAACAAAGACTTTTAAGGGTGTGACAAACACTAGTCGCCTGAAATATGTTCATCTCTAAACTAAAACAACTCTGTATCTACAGCCATCTGAACTCTGCTCAGCTCTGTCTCTTGATTCATGTTGCTGTTAATTAGAAGACTCAGACTCAGTTGGGCAAAAAAATAAACAAATAAATAAATCTCCCAGAAATTGGAAGATTTTTCATAATGCAATGAAAAGAACTTAAAATACCTTCATATACCTAAATATCTTAAAAGTTTAAGTGTACTAAACTGTGTAATACCTAGTGCATATAACCTTTCAAATATTACTTAACAACCGATACACTGTACCTATTTACTAGCTGGGTGGACAATAAAATGAACTGAAATGAACAGAAATAAGATCTGAAGAAGTGCACCAGCATTATGAGTCCAGTACAACACTCCATAACATACTGCTCAGGTTTCATCTTCAGGTTGTTGAATCAGGTCATGAATATAAATTAGGCCTCCACTCTATTTTTCCTTCTCAGCCAACAAAAACAGATTACACAGCTCAAGTGCAACTGTCCCACAGATTTTTAAGGAGACTGTAAGAGACTTGAACTGCTGCAGCTTTTAGGCATGTGCATGCTTCTTTTACTGTCTATTTAAAAGGCCTGAAGAAATAATTGAACCACACCATCATATCCAGAAATAGCACAACTACTTTGGCTTATGATTAAAGAGACTGAGGAACAAGTTTAAAAGCTTCTTTGGCCAGCCGGAACAGGCTACTAGGAGCATTACCAAGCTGCACAAAGTGGTGGAGAGGATGCGTTATCCACCCATAACTGCACCTGCATTAGGTACTAGAAATGAACAGCAGCATCTGGCTGCTTGAGAAATTCTGTATCCAGCCTATGTTGATTGGTTGCATAATGTGAGAACATGGACTTCTTATGGACCTTAGTCTTGTGTCACTCTACTTAATGGACTCTTTGCATCAGAGACTGCACTCTTCACATGCACCTTGTTTCTGAAAATGTCAATAAATGCTGTTTACAAGCAAGTTAGGGCATACTCAGGGTTCCGGTCTCTTAATGTACAGACACTCTACCAGGCAAATGTTTTCCCACTGAACTAAATGGGACAGTGTGTCCAAACCTTTGACTGGTATTGTAGTTAAGGCTAAAGGCTCAATATTTACAAGAACTGCCTGGTTTCCCATCATCTCCTATCTCAATATCTGCACTTCAGTGACATTTCACATAGACAACTGTGACACAAAATGTCTTCAAACGTTTGTGTGCTAGTACATTATCCTTTACTGGGCTGTGAGCACTGTTGTTAAAAAATGTAAATAAATAAAAAATGCTTGCAAGTACAAAGCAGTGCTGTGGCTTAACAAATCCACTGTGACAGTGAGAGGGCTGAGGATCTTCCTGTTGTGCTGCTGAAGTCATGCTTTCATTACACAGCTAGTGTAGGGTGTAGACAAGGTGCAAGTCCCAAATGTATGACTCATGATTTTAAATAAAATAAAATTACAGAAAAAGGTTTCATTTTCTGCAGTTCATATTTGACACTGCAAACAAACTCGGCCTACAAAAGCAGACTAGTCAACACAGTTGTGCAGGAAAACCAGGTATTCCAGGCTACAAACCACCATCTAGCTTAATCATCTAGAAAGCTGAACAAAGCATGCGACACTTCTACACTGGACTATATTTAATCCGTATAATCCAACTGCAAACTGTAAAATGACTAAATGGAACCTGAGGCAGTCTGATGTTTGAGTGAGCACTAAAACCACTTTATCAAACAAATTTATTAAGATATCAAATAAAACTATTATCATCTAGCAGAAAAATCAGTGTAACAATCAAAACATGCATAGATATAGTATATGTTTATTTACTCTTAGAAAACACTGGTTTCCAGCCACCCAATTTATATAACTGTGATAAGCAGGTGAGCAGACAAACACTGGGCCACTGTCGTGTGCATAATCAAAGCAAATCATTTACTCTTTCACCTGTTCAGCCATTACATACACAATGCACCAAGGCAAGGGCCCTGTTATTTTAAAGCTCACATTAAGACATCAACAATACACAGATGATATGTACCATATCCAGCTGGTCTTACAGAAAAAAAAAAAATACCAACAGACCTAAATTACGGTGATGTCACGCAGAGTTTGATGTCTACATGGTTACACAGTTTAGAGTGGCAGCTGAGTGACTACCATAGCAACAGTAGCAGTAGGATGCTGATTGTTGCAGCATGTGACAAGAGGACCACACAGCCATACCACTTGGCGTGTGTGTTTGTGTACACTGATGTGGCCATTTTCAGAGCACACGTGCATTTCAGAGTTAGTCTGACGTCACTCTGACTTGCTCTTTACAGCACAGTTGTTTCTCTCACATCTTACATGGCACACATGGCAAGATCAAGTGAGTGGCAGAGAGCCAAAGTTGAAAGCTGTCTAAGTAATGAGTCCAGAACATCCACAGGTCTCAGACTTCAAACAAGCAGTATGGCTTTAACAAGCTAACTTAGTTTAGAAGTCAGCAGCTGATTAGATATGTACATGGTAAGATTAGCCTGTCAAACACAGACAACAGACTACACACAGAAGTAAACACCCACACACTCTCTCTCTCCTGACTCTTAGGTATAGTGTATAGTATAGTAAGCCTACATCTACAATTTACACAATAGCATCACCATTCACTTGTAAAGTATAGAAGCTAACTGGATAAAACAAAATTATCCTATTGTCCAAATATTGTTTTTCTGACCTGACACACTATAGTGTCCCCTAGAGAAAAAGGCTACACAATGAGCAACAGTGAATTACTGAACAAATCATGGACACTTCAAAAAGAAAGTAAACTACTTTATGTTGTCTGGAATTCTACCAGTAGTCCACTGACACTGAGGAGAGTTTCATACAGCTGAGAACTTTCCTTGGTGCTAAAAAATGAACAAAAATCAAAGTAACTATAAAAGCTGCTTGTCCAGAAGTTCATGTTTAGACTCAGTTGCACTTTACATCTGTAGTTAAAGTTAATACTAGGCATATAGGCTATGTTTTCAAAACAATACATTTCTACTAATGTGCTTTATATTGTCACTTAGGAGATCATTTTTCCATTGATTAAGCAGTCATTAGCCGCCTCCTCATTTGCAAGAGTAAAAAAAAACTAAAAGGTATTTGGAACAGCTGGTGTGATGCACTCTCCTCACTTATGATAAAGACTGTATCTAAAATGGAATCAGTTATACTGCTCAGTAAGGCTCTAACCTTTTTTTTTTTTTTTTTTACAAATTAGAAAGGTGGGACAAACAGGCAGGAGAATCTCAAATCCCCCTCTTTGATGACTCTTCATTGAATTTGCATCAGAAGCACACAATTTCCCAGTGCTCTCTGAACAAAGAGCTTCAGTCATCCTGTGGCACTTAGAAAAGCTAGAGCTGTTAACTTGACGAGACTGGAGTCAGACTACAGCCACAGAGGAGGAAAATAAATGTGTCATATTATACTGGGCAGTGCGTGGGTTCTTGGCAACAAGAAGAGCATATGTACTTGTATATACCTGCTCTCTAGAGAAACTTGGCCTACCTTCAACTTGACCCCCAGGCCTCAAAAGTTAAGAAACAGTGAGATGTGGTGAAAAGGAGGAGGATAAAAGACATGGCGTTGCATGAGTTCAACATTTATCATGTACTAAAAGGTTTAAAACAATCTCAGCTCCTATAGAACATAATGTACTAATATGTTTACATTAATGTGTTTTCATATTAATGCATATAATAAAATGTATCTGGTTCTGTGTGAAGTGATTCAATCAGGAGACAAAAGTTTATAGATACATGCCTTTGGACAGGTCCATAGACTCACAGTAAGCAGCATAGTTAGCACAGGAGTTCACATCAAGGCGCCAACACAAACATGCCATTGATGAAACTGCCATTTCTAGAACACACTCTCACACAAACACACAACTATATAAACCCTGACAGCTTAATAAAACTAGCAACAACAAGGTAATAAAACAAGTTAATTCCTGTACTGGAGCTTCATTGGCACAGAATGGGAATACAAACATTGAGAAATCATTTTTGAACTACATTACACTCCATGTACATTCACAGTAAATAATGGATTATGAATTTTGTCATTAAACCATGGGGGTGTAGAGAAGGAAAAATATGTTTGTGTGCCAATAATTTTATATATCAATACATACCACAATGAAACTGACTGATTTGATTTGAAAAGCTTTTTATAAATAAATAAATATTTGCAACGAGCAAATCTGGTTAAGATATATTATATTCTATACATCTATTAAAAAGACAACTTTCTCATGGGGGCAAGAGAACAATATATTCTTTCTTATCTACACCCACATGGTTAATAATGAGATTCATATTCCATTATTTACGGTGAATGTACATAACACAGTATGTACACAACAATGTAATCTAAAACCTAATGTTTCACAGTGTTTTGTATTTCCATTCTGTGACGATGAAAGATCATACACAAGAGCTTGGCTAATTTCTTTTATTACCTTGTTGCTGCTAGTTTTACTGTGCTGTTGGTGAATGCCATTCACTAGTTAAACCACTAAATGCAACCGTTTATAAACTGGCAAAACGTTACCAGAGACCAAATGTATTGGCCAGCAAAATACTACTACACGGTAGCAACTAGCGTCAATCACTTGACAAAATGGGACCCCAGTGCGTTATTAGCAGGCACATCATCATCATCAGAGCAGCACCGAAATGATCATCACCACCAACAACGCAAATACAAGCATAGTAGTAATAGTAGTATCGTTATGATCAACAACTGAGATCCACTAGCGTTAGCTCAGTAAATGGGGCCACTTCAGATGCTAGCTAGCCCGCTAGCGAAGTTCACAGCTGTCGAAGTGTTATCTGTACGTTAACGGGTGACTAGCCAATGTTAGTGTGACATGTTTAGTAGAAACGCTGTTGATCCCAAATACTAGGCGTTACTTACTTTGTAGGAAAAGAAGTATCACTATTAGTCCTTCTTGTGGCTTCAGTGTCAGCTATGTTAAAGTACCCAGGCTTGTTGTGATAGGCTTAGCTCTCGTTAGCCACTTTCGTTTCTCGGCCCCGTGCTCGTCAGCTAGCTTTGATGAAGCTAGCCAGCATTTCACACGACCAGTTCTCCTTTCAGCATGTCTCTGCATCGGAATAAGGCCTTTAAATACATGTTTGGCACGATAAGCAGAAGGAGTACCAAAGCAATTACCGTTACATAGACTATCAGTTGAAAACACAGTTTCGGAAAAAAATATGTATATGATTTGAACCCCTAACTAATTTTGGCTAAGCTAAATCTATAAGGCAGGTGACGTTCTTTTGCAACATCCAGTTTAGGGGCGAGGCTATTCTGTCGTTGTCTTCTGTGATTGGACTAACGCTGATTCGAAGCTGAGATATGATTGACCAAATAATGAGTCAATTAAGACCTCTTCTCTGACAAAGTGTAAACAGTGAAAGATTCAAGTTGTTTGAATGCTCTTATGCTGCTGGTGTGTGGGAGAAATGCTTTCCAAGCTCTTCTTTAAACACACACAAACACACACACACACACACACACATCCTCTGTGACCTTTTGAAACTTTCATGTTTCATTTACCAGCATAGGTGGAAGAAGCACTCACATCCTTTGCTTAAGTAAATGAATCAGAACCAAATTTATTGGCCAAGTGTGTCGGACACATGAGGAATTTGACTCTGGTACAGCGGCTCTCAATGTGTACATACAGTGGGTACGGAAAGTATTCAGACCCCCTTAAATTTTTCACTCTTTGTTATATTGCAGCCATATGCTAAAATCATTTAAGTTCATTTTTTCCTCATTAATGTACACACAGCACCCCATATTGACAGAAAAACACAGAATTGGACATTTTTGCAGATTTATTAAAAAAGAAAAATTGAAATATCACATGGTCATAAGTATTCAGACCCTTTGCTCAGTATTTAGTAGAAGC